ATTAAGTCGCAAAACTTTCTGAAGATGTCTATGACAGTTAGACGAAACGCGTCGAAGAATAAAGAAGTTTTACAACTAATGTTCGCAGAATGCTGCACACTAATTTAGTTTCTAAAAAAATATATTTATTTTTCACTCGACAGGATAAGAATTGTTGCACTTAACATTTCTACGTAAAGAGTAATCGATGAGTTTTAAAAGCGCCTCAGTTTTGCTAGGAGTGTTGATAGATATCGAGGTTAAAGCAAAAGCATGTGTTTGATTAAGCACGACACAAACAAACAGAAAAAATAAAACCAAAAAATCTGGAATAGCAACAATTTCTAAAAAGTAACACTTTTAGCTGAAATCATGGAATATCTTTTCTTATTAGGGAATTGGGTAACAACCAGATAAAGGAGCTGCCACCTGGAGTCTTCAATAACAACACCAAGTTGACCGAACTGTACGTAATTGATTTTCCTGGCTCTTGTGATGATAGCCTTTGATGTGCCAAGAGTTTAATCTCATTATTAACTAAATGTGATCAAGAAGGTCCTGAAGCTTAGTGGGTGTAATCAGCCACTAAAAGGGTGAAAGAGAGTGGGACAGTTCATAGGTGGACGGAGTTAAACAGAAAAGAGAAACCTTCCCTCATTAAACAATCCTTTCACTTTCATGAATGATCATATCCTAGCATCTGACCTTGGTCCACGTTTTGTAAATTCCATTTTCTATTCCTTTTATAACTTTGTTTATTTGCCAGTGTGAAAAGGAGATTTCAAGTGTTCTCTCTCAAAACAGGCTTTGCACCTCGCACTTCTTTTCACACCAATACCACAGTCAAATGCGCACAAGATTTGTACTTTGCCATGGATTGTTAAAACAAAGCTTGATTACCTTTCAGTTGGTTATACGGCAACAAGATCAAGAATTTGACAAACAGTCCATTCTCCCACCTAATTAACCTGGAGCGGCTGTAAGTGACAAGTCGTCCTAGTATATCAACTATTACAAGTGTCACAACTCACATCATGATCCGAATAGTGCATATTCCTTTTCATCGATCACATCTTTCAACCCTGAAATATCTGCGTAGCACACATGCCAATAACGAACGCCCGAAATCAATGATCAAAGATATAACGGCTAAATCTAACACCAGTTAAGATCTGGGTGACAAGATCAGGTACCTCAAAAGCCAAACCCCGTATGAATCTGTTTTGAATCGCAAATTAAAACAAGGGTCATATTAAAGCGTAATAAATTACTTTCGAACTATGTAGTTGTTTAGTTCCAACATTTTGAGCTTCAGGAAGCCTATGGTCCAAATGAGATCTTTCTAGCAAATTTCAAACAATGTAATTATAACACTTTTTTGACTCTTCTCATCTAAAGACAACTTAACGACAACGACCTAACAGAAATACAAGAGGGTTTGTTTGATGGTTTAAGAGCACTGACACGCCTGTGAGTAAAGAAAAGAAAAATTTTAAAGATACAAAATGGTGATATTAAAAATTATTTGTGTGACAAATCGGACACCTGCAGATTGAAGGTGGAAAAAATAATGAGTTACTGAGTAAGTAAGAAAAAAAACAAAAATGTTGCTGTAGGAGATCATAATTTTATACGTTAGTTATGAAATGTTTGTTGGATGAATGAGCAAAATAATGCACAGCAAGGATGTTCCAGTAACTTAACAAAATAATATCGAAATTAATCAGGAAGCTTCTTAAACACGTTTCCAAAGATTTGACTAATTTGGAAGAGCTGTGAGTGTAATAAAAGAGAATTGTGTTTACAAAAAATATTGACTCTTTCAATATCAGTGTTCTCCTCCTTTAAATGGAAAAAGTATTCGAAAAGAAATCCCCGCAAGTTGCAGCGGGATTACGTTTTATACAAAACGCGCCCGAGCAAAAATATTTGATGGATTATAATTGAATGTACACTGATTTTATTAAAGCACATGATGGGCCTATTTTAAGTCGCTTAGAAAAATTACAATTGAGAGCGATTGTATTATATTAACGTTACGGAGGGCAGCGTAACGGAGAGCCTCAGACTCAAAAGCCGCTGATCCTGAATTTTCTTCGACTTGCTGTGCTGACGTAGTCCCACTGCCTAAGGAGAAACTAGCCACTGTTATTACTAAACTAATCAAAACCGTTACAATTTCCTCAAATGTGATTGGTGTGTCAGCTGCTTTATATTTCACTAATCACTCTGTAGAGGTGTAATCGGACAGTTGGCTGCAATCGGACACCTGTGATCGGACAGTTGAAGCAGTCAATCATATGAAGTCCACTCAGCTAAATTCACCAATCACAGAATTGATCACAATAACCATAGCAACAATCAATTACCCTGAAAAAAAAACTGGGAAATTTCCAAATTTTTTGCTTTAGCTATTGTTCCCTACTGGAGATTTTTGTAATGTAGAAATTTTTATTTCTTTCTTGAAGATTGTGTATTCAATAGACTGATGTATTATATTCCTCTAACGGTCCCCATCTATATCGTCCGTTAAATTGTGTTCCTTCTTTTTCGGTCGTTTGGGATATCGCGCTCTAACGGAAAGGGAAATATCAAGCTGGGTATCAGCAAATTAAGCTCGCTAATTTGAAAATGAATAGATGAGAAATCCCTAAATGGTAGCAAAAAAATCGTGATTTTAAGCGACTTCCATGTAATATGAATCCACTACCACGTGGATCCGCTAACCTCCCCCATTTTAGGTGACTTTATTTCGCTATTCCTAACCCCGTCCCTAGCCTGAGGGTGAGTCTGATAATCGCTTTATCTAGGCCTCATTTCATTTCAATAATCAGAGCACGGTTTCGACATGTAGTACAAGCATCGTCCATTCCAAAGAGCGTGGTTACAAATGAAATGTTTAAAAAAAAAACTTGTGAAACTAACAGGATATAAACTACCCTTCTTTACGCTGAATTTTGCAGTTTCTTACTTAGCGATGGACTATTGGTAGAGATGGATCGCTTAGTTTGGATTTCCTTGTGCTCAGTTCAAGCTGCGAGATAACCTTACACTACACAATGACTCTTTAATCTGATTTCAGTACGGAAAAACGGTATTACCTTTCAACTGGGCATAGTTCAACTACATTTGTTCTTGTAGGATACATAATTGTTTTCTGCTCAATGAAATGAGTTTACCACCATCATTAAGAGATATGGGTAATCAAAGTGAAAGCTCATCCGCTTTCAAATAACGGAAAAAAAAAACAAAAACCGAAAACATAACAAACGAACAAAAATTACTTCAAAGATTAGGGTGTAATCTTCACTGCCTAAAGTTTCATGTTTTATGATTAGCACAGTGATTTACTATTTACCAACACAACTTAAGTAAAGCGCCCCTCTATTGGTCAATTCAGCGTCTACTATTTGCTCGTGGGTGACCGCTGACGATTGCCTTCCGTATGAGCAGGCGCGCTGATGTGGCGCGACATAGCGCAAACGTTCAAAGTCGAAAAATGAAAATGCTGCTAATTCACGAGTTTTATGCTTTACTTCGATTTCCTTGTGAAATTTAATAGTTAATTATAAAGAATAGACCCTCTGTGATACTAAAAAATTGGAACTCTACGATACGTCCCATATTATTCCAAAGCTTGACTCCTTTCAAGTTTTTGTCAAGGATTGTGTAAGAACTACACGCGTTAGACTGAAAAAGCTGTGTAATAGAACCAATGGTGCCAAAGCCCACGCTATTGAATTATGGACGCACCTAGGAGATTTGCGAAGCACTTAAGAATCTAAGTCGCTCTCGGCTATCACCTCATGGCGTTATGAGAAACTGTGAGAAAGACGATAAAGAGCTGGGAACAAGACAATAGTTCGGCTTGCTGCATGGGTTAAGGAAGCCTTTGCTTTTAACGATAAAATATGTCATGCAATGTAGTGTTGTGGAATATCTGACAACGTTAATACATTCATCCATTTCTGATGAGACGGGAACGATGCAGTTCCTTTCGCCTGAAGTGTATTTCTGAGAGAGAGAGAAAGAGAGAGAGAGTCCCGATCTGACCGGTACGTGGTCCTCCGCGGCTGTGGTTTTAACTTGTGACATTTACTATGAGTTATATGCGTAAGGATGCTTGAGTAAAGAGCCTGAAATCTAAATATAACTGAAGTAGCTCAGTGCTCTTCCTACGTTAAGTATGAAGATAGACTGGCGTCTAGTGAAATGTAGCGCAAGAGCTGTCGGGTTGTTTCCTCATACTTTCTTCTTTCCGCGCAAATTATATTCCGGCTGATGTTATTTCTTTCTGAATTTTCTGGAAGTTCTAATGCATTTCCCCTCGAACCTTTCAGGGATCTGTCTAATAATAAAGTTGAGAATCTGCCACAAGACGTCTTTAGCAACCTAACAAATCTCGAAAAGCTGTAAGTCAACAATAAAAACATTACAAAACAAAAACAGCCACGACAAGGAAAGCGGTTCTCATCCTAAGCATGTTCGAGTTACGAAAATTTCTCAATTTCTGTCTTAACCCTTTCACTCCCAAGATCTCATCAGTAATTCTCCTTACTATCTGCCATACAATTTTTATGATGTTTGGAGAATTTGGTATTCGATCAACTAACAGTCCCCTGATGGCTATTTTTCTTTATTCTCTTGTCTGCTTGATAATGCATTGACACGGTAAGGAGAAATTCCCTCTTAGTCACTCATGGGAGTTAAAGGGTTGAATTTACAACGCAAGAAATAGATGTTTTGATCTTAAACTTGAGTTTTAATTACACTAATGTTATCAAATTATGTCTCTCCACTTGATCTAATTAAACATGTTCACCAAAACGTATCCCACTGAATGAATGCCAATGATATATCTTTCTATCGTTTGCATTGTAAAAAATACCGTCAATCTTAACAGTTGCAATCGTAAGCTACGGGAACCATTTTGTTTTGCCGTTAAACGCAAATGACAAATGTTTTCCATACACTGAAACCTATCATTCGTCAATATCTGGCTTACTGTTTCGTACTTGCAGGTTTTTATCCAATAACCAAATTGAAGAATTACCATCAACGATATTTGTTAACCTGACCAAGCTTAAGGCATTGTGAGTAGAGATGGAAATCTTGAAATATTAATTAGCTGACAGTCGATTGATTGATTTATCGATTTAGGAAATAAAACAGTAAGAGAACATTATAAAAGATCCTGAATGTCAAATTACGGAAAAGAGTTGTGACCATGTTTAAATTGCTTTCGAACTGGACGATTTTAGAGCTATGTGAGGTCTAGGATGGACCAGTTTACTTCAATTTACTGCCAAAATTAATCGAGGATTGCTCTCGTTTTGCTTTCATCACCCCTATCAATAATCTAAAAACATGCGCCGCCTTTTCAACCAATTGGATTCAAAGCTAAAACCAAGTGCTGTCATCAATTTTTTTTCCTTTTAATTGGTTGTTGAGGTTACTTTAGCTTGGGGTGAAGAAATCGTAATCAAAAGGCACGCTAGATACGTTGGCACCAATTCAAATTTCAAATTAAGAAGAAGGTTGGTCACTAACAGGTTTCTGTTTCACAATTTAACAGAAAAATAGAGAAAAATAAGTTAATGAAGCTCCATCCAAAACAATTTCGCGGACTGGCACAGCTGTCTGAGCTGTAAGTATTTTATGTATGATTCGAGTTTTCTATGGGTCTGGTTTCTGCATGTAGGCTGACTTTGACTGATTGACAGACTTTTTCCTCATCGCAATTTCCTGCAGAAAACGCTGAACCGATCACGTTTTCCATATTTAAGAAAATGTAAGGCCCTGTGTCACAACTTTCCCATGTTTTTCCTGAATGGATAATATAAATGCATGCGGAGGGTCTGTGGAGATTGCTGGAAAACCTATAAGCCGGGTTAGATATAATGTAGACAAATTTTCAGTAACAACTTGTTCATGAAGTTCCTGCAACGACGATGCTCCTCTCGAAAAGTCAAAAAACTGAAAAAAATGTATGTGATTACATTTAAAATGTTTGTAAATTTTCTTGCTACTTATGAAAAATGCCAAGTTCGCCATACATTTTATTTTCTTCCTTTCCTCATTAGCTATCTGTCGGGAAACAAACTCGGAAATTTGCCAGAAGGAATTTTCAAAGGCCTAAAGGAGCTTGAGATTCTGTAAGTAGAATATGAAATTCATTTGTGCTCAATTTGATCGAAGTGGTATCTCAGTACCCTTTAATAATATAATAATCTAATAATGATCCACACACCAATACACAAAAATTATACCATAGCTAATTGTTTTCTTTTCATCTTTTTTGTAAGAGAACTCTTTGACAACGAATTGAGGAATGTTTCCATCAACAACTTCAACGAAATCAGGCAGTTAAAAATTCTGTGAGTATTCAATTTTTATCAATGATAAAATGAGAATCAAATTATGAAAGACACTGACTGCCATCAAAGGTTCAGTTAAGAAAATAATCAAAGGGCGTCTGTGGCCAACTCGTGGAAAAAGAATTAAAGAGATATGTGCTTGTAAAGTTACTATCAGTAAACTAAGGTGTTAAAAAAAGATAGAAACTTAGGACTTCGGACTTCTTCGGAAGGATAGATCTCGAATTCGAAGCCGACTAATTACGACTAATTACGAAGAGTCCACGTTAGTTTGCATAACCCAAAGTACCCACAACAACTCGTTTCTACGCTATCGCGTATCCACGAGTTAAAAAAGGACAAATCGATACGCTAAGTTTGAAGCAACACTCCGGAAATGCTCTTCTATTCACTGATTTCATTCTTATACTCTTGTCTTTAAATATCTAATTTTCAGATATTTGCATTATAACTACATGAGGGAGATTCCCTACGGATTTTTTAAAGAGTTGAAGGATATATTACGAGTGTAAGATTTTGATGTGATTCATTTGATACATTTACAACTTATTAGCAGAGCTATATGAATAGAAAGCGTCTGGGGGTTCCTTTAATTCAAATATTTACTAGCACAGAGCTTCAGGCAAATGAGTTCGTGTTTTCTATACTATACTAAATATCTATTGTCGGCTTTCTTCGCCCTACTGACGAGTTTTATAACAACCTCCATTTTTGTTGCCTCACAAAGACTGCTATTGCGCACTACATTGCTTTACAATATCGCAAGAAAAATTTTCGAACATATTCAATGAAGATTCATAGTCACAAAAACCCCCCTATGAGGAAATGAATTCTGATTGACTGATCTCGCGTTACCTTTGCGCTCTTAGGGTATAGGCTTTTGGTTTTATATTTTATTCCATCTGTATGGACTGAATAGCATTATATTCTACGGTTGCAGGATATTCGACACTAACCTGATGTGTTGTCATATGCACAAAGAGGACGCTGGCTGTGCTTTCATTGAGAATGACGACTTCGCAAACTGTGAGAGCATGTTCAAGAGCCCAACCCCGAGGAAGAGCATATGGGCAATCGGCTCCCTTTCCCTAGCTGGGTCTGTGTTTGTCATCACATGGCGTTCAGTCTTTAAGGATAGAAACACGGTACAATCAATCATGTTATTGCACTTGGCAGTCTCTGATGGTGTAATGGGAGCATACCTAATCACACTGGGTGTCAAAGATCTGTTGTGGAGAGGAGAGTATTACTTACATGACTTCCAGTGGCGGTCCGGTTTAGCTTGCCAGATAACTGGTGCCACCTCTTTGCTATCCAGTGAGGCCTCCTTGATGCTGATGGCTTTGATATCTGCAGACCGACTCAAGAACATTGTGTTCCCGTTCAGAGGTGGAGCACTTTCGCGGAAGATGACCCACATCCTTTGCGCTATCATATGGCTCGTCGGCTTCCTCCTGGCTTTCTTTCCAATGTTTGGCTTGAGATACTTCGAAGATCTTACAACATATCACAACTATTACGGAAAAAGTGTAGTCTGCCTTCCCTTACAGCTCTCTCGTCACAAAACGGAAGGCTGGGAGTACTCTGTTTCTGTATTTGTTGGCCTCAATTTCTTCCTCGTCATATTCATCACAGTTGCCTACCTCGCCATATTCATAAGCAGAGTGCGAGTTAAAAACCAATCAGCCAACACAAGGAGGGAGACCGGTCTGGCCAAGAGAGTGTTCTTCATCATCTTCACTGACTGTCTCTGCTGGATACCAATCATCGTGTTTGGTATGAGGTCGCTTTTGGAGAAGAATTTCAAGCCACCGAGCGACTTAGCTGCTTGGATTGCCGTGTTTGCTCTGCCCATCAATTCAGCGATAAACCCGATTCTGTACACGTTAGCAACACCAAAGGTAAAGAATAACATTTCTTCATCATCTCCTAAATCTAAATCATTTGAGGCAAGACCCGGTGGTCTGGCGCTTAACACTGTGGGTTCTTTAACGCTCTGACAGCGTTCTTCTTAAGCTAGACACTCTAACAGTGACTGTTTCCATTCAACTGTTTAAACGAGTAGTTTTAAACTGCCCGGGAAAGTTAGCTTATACATCGTCCAAGTACTGGCCTGAATCATCCCGGTTGCTTTACACTACCAAGAATGTGATGATTATAAAGACGTCAAGCGAGCAATCGATCGAGATCATTGACATTTGTCACTCTGTAACAATTGATAATGGAAAATGGTCAGTTGATGGACGTCGTTATTGACAATTTTCTCTCCTCTCCAGGCGCAAGAGTATCTGGGAAGCAAAATAGCAATGCTGAGAAGCTTCATACGGAGTACTTTTCACTGCAGTGAATATCAAGAAAGTAGTTATGCCCATTTTTCCATTCTTTCTATTACATAGTTCATAGACTAAAGTCGGAAATGTTGTTCTTAATAGTCTTCTTATTTAATAATCTTATTTACTCATGCCTTGTTTGATAAGGACAACAACAAGATCCACGAGAGATTGAAGATAACGGGCAACAAGAAGGTAACACCATTTTACTGAGTTCTTTTTATCACTGTATCCTCCTCAGGAATCGTTTTCATTTACATTTTTATTTTCCCGATGTTGTCCTCCAGTTCGTTTTTTATCTTTGTTTCCCCAGATCAACAAGAAGGAGAAGCGGTGGAAATGCAGTTTCTTGGATTGCCACATCCAGATCAAGGTGTTTAAAATAGAATTTTGCTCGTTCACTGTCCCAAACCAAGTAGATATTGAAGTTCTCTTCGCTTAAGTCACCCAATTGTTTTTGGGCAAAAAACAGCGCAAAGAACTTTGATGGGGAAATGCACTAAAACATAGCTTCAGTAGCATTTTGAATTAGTTTTTTTTTAAAGAAACCATTGGCTGAAATAGAATCACTCAGCGCTTGTATGGCTAAGATTACTTTTATTTGTATTTAATTACCCTTGTGTCCAACACTTCTCGAAAGTGCCTGTCTTCTAAGTAGAATGACTAGTTATAGATTCGTGTTTTGGGGAAAGATGAGTCTTACACTCTTCTATTTATCCATTAATCAAGATGCACAAGAGCAGTATGGCGACAATAAAATTGGAATTGTCCAACACCTTCACAAGGAGGGTATGTAATGACATCATTTTTGATTACAATGTTTTTATAATTATCCAGATCATTGATATCATATTGCAGTAGTATTAATTCGTTGATTTACTCATGCCTTGTTTGATAAGAAGAACAAGATCCACGAGAGATTGACGATAACGGGCAACAAGAAGGTATGAGCATTTTACTGAGTTCTTTGTGTCACCGTATTTTCATCAGGAATCATTTTCATTTCCATTTTTTTTTCTTGATGTTGTCCTTCAATTCGTTTTTTATCTTTGTTTCCCAGATCAACATGAAGGAGAAGCGATGGAAATGCAGATTCTTGGACTGCCACACCCAGATCAAGGTGTTTAACCTATAACTTGCTCGTTCATTGTACCAAACCAAGTAGATATCAATTAAAGTTCTCTGCGTTTAAGACACCCGACTGTTTTAGGCATAAAAACAGCGCAAAGAACTTTGACGGGGAAATGCACTAAAACGTAGCTTCAGTAGCATTTTTAATAAGTTTTTTTAAGTAACCGTTCGCTGAAATAGAATCACTCAGTGCTTGTATGGCTAAGATTACTTTTATTTTGTATTCACAAGGGGGGTATGTAATCACATCATTGTTGATTACAATGTTTTTATAATTATCCAGATCATTGGATTTATTCGAAAATGTATCTCATAAAATGTCGTTAAAAGATCGTTTTGCTTTTGTTCTTGTGTTAGGAAGCTTATTTGCTCACTTATTTCTATGTGTATTTAGATCAGCAAGGAGCTGAAATGCTGGAAATGCAGCAAATACCTCCCCAAGAACAAGGTTATTCACAACTTTTTCTATCTGGTCAAACAAACAACAAAATAAATAATAACTGTCCATTTTACTATTAGTTTTCCAGCTTATTCGATTAGCATTATTGTGTTTTTTCTTAAACTTTCTTTTCCTTTCAACTTTAATTTAGAAGAAGGCCACGAAGGAGAAGAAGACATTTTTGAAGAAGATCATCTGGAATATGATACAAAGTTGTAGTCATTGGTCGATAAAATGATATCAAGTAAACACCAGTTTAACCCTAAACTTCTTAGTAATCTGTAACAAGTTATTAATAATTAGTGATCCTTTTAACTTATTTTATTGTTATGGGTAAACATAATTTGATATCATTAGGATGATACGTTGAGCCTATAGGACTGTTTATTCTAGACACCTGCACGTTGTAGGATACGTTTAAATCGCAAGGGGGAGGTGCCCTGTTAATAGCAACTGATGGCTCAGGAATAAATTTATCACTTACATGAAGCTAGATTTCCCTTACTGTAGTCAGTGAATGCTCAACAAAAAGATCAATATGTATTATTATTAACAAAGGATTAACTGTAAAATGAAGATTTCCACCAGTAGTCGTAATAGTTTGGTTAAACGCAGTTGGTATATTTAAAACAAGATTACCCTCCAACTTTTCCCGATCAGATCAGACATGAAAAAATATCTTGCAAAGTCGATAATTTCATTAAAAAAATGTGATCTTGCTTTGATATCACTGACTTTCTGATTCCAACGGTTGTTCTCCATATAACAGTCAAAGAAAAAATATGTACTTTCTTACAATAAAATGATAATAGATGATAGAGTTTAAAATAAGAAAGAACAGTCGATATGGTAACTACATATACTCACAAATCTTAGCAAACCTTTCACTGCTTTGCATCTCTTAGTGTCGGATATATATCGTAAACAGACCTTAGGGGAGAGCAGGACTACCTTGCAAGAAAAATATACCATTTTTATCAACAACATATATAGCCTCTGTTTACATATTATCATTGATCTAATGCTACATGTATTCAATAACTGATAATAAAACATTCAATATTTCTTGTATAATTATTATTTTAGTCGAAGAGAATGAAGAAAATCATCAGAAAAAAGTAAACATGTAGCTAATACAGCGAAGTAGCTTGACAACTTTGCAATATCATTTTTAAACTTTTTCTTTGTCTTAATGTTTAGATAACGTTTCTGTCTCACTCACGAGTTACGATTAACTCCTTTAAGTTAGTTTGCATCCATCTGCATGTCAACGTTAGTGGGTAATGATAGTAGATAATAATCTGCAAGTCGTAGTTAGTAGAAAATGATATGAGGTTAGCATAACACTAAATTTGATGTAATTTAAAATAAAAAAATTAACACTATCAAAAACCTGTATCCGGCGGTGATACATGAAGTGTTTTTGTGTGCTTCACCAAACGCAAATCACCAAAACTGGTGAGAAGTCCTGGGTTGGCCTGTCAAACACTGATCCCATTGTTTAGAAAGAATTTACTGGAGTTGCCCAAGTTGATCAAATTCCTCCATCCCCCTCCCCCCAGACTTAATGAACAGTGTCAGTGCATTGTATTTTAACTGTTGACTTCATATTGTTTCTCGTAATAAATGATGATAAAAATAAGAAAAAGGCGAAAAATACGTGGGAAGCTAGCTTTACTTGGTTAGTTCATCAAATATCTTTTAATAAGGCGCGCTGGGGAAACTGGAACCCCTGAACTAACATAGATTATGTCAATAGAAGGTGAGCACATGAAAAAAATAGGTTGTTTTGGAGAACTAGTTCTTTGAGGATCTATTCCGCTGATAAAAGCTATTCATTTCCCTCCGTCTCTTAGTGTATACTAAAACAACTATTCACCTCAGTGTCGGCTGCAAGCCACTAGCCACCGACACTGAGGTGATTAGCAGTTAAATAGGATTAACTTGGAAAGGAAGTTTGAGTTTTAACTTAAAAGTGATTTTGTCATTTTATGGACAGCAGCCAGGAGAAGGGCGTAAAGTATATGTCAATGTAAATACGAACATGGTTCTTCATTATCTGAACACGCTCTAGGTATTTGCTTAAATAAGTAGTAATGCACGGGAATACAAGGGCGCACAATACTCTAACACCGGCCTAATGCAGGTAGGATACATACTCATAATATCATGAGCCGAAACATTTAGTCGCACCTTTAGCAATATCAAGAAATATGTGAGCTTATTGGCCCCTTTGATTACATCAGAGACATGACAATTTCATTTAAAGATTTTAGACGTGGTTATCCCTGATATGTGGTTTGGGCAACAAGTTCAAGTTCCTTGGAGTTGACGGTTACAACGCCGAACTGGTGTTGGTTCCCTTGAAGTCAATAATCAGTTCTTTGCACTTATCTGAGTTCAACTGAAGATTTTTGTAAGCAGACCACTGCTCTGATGCTTTTACAGCGCTTCGGATTGTACTTTTACTACCTTTGGAATGATGAGAGCATGCAGCGTAGAAGATTTTGAGGTAACGCCGAATTGGCTCGGATCGATCTTCTCAGGGTAGCTAGGCCTTCGTAGATACTTGCTCGGCCAGCTTTGACAGAGCCAGGGTTACCGATATTGGTCTTACATGTTTGGTAATAACAGTGGCTAGTTTCTCCTTAGGCAGTGGGACTACGTCAGCACAGCAAGTCGATGGAATTCGCGATCAGCGGATTTTGAGTCCGCTTACGTTGCCCTACTTAATGTTAATATTATAAAATCGCTCTCAATTATAATTTTTTAAGCGACTTGAAAGAAGCTCATCATGTGCTTTAATGAAATAAGTGTACATCCAATTAAAATCCATCAAATAGTTTTGCTCGCGCGCGTTTTGTACAAACGCAACCCCGCTGCAACTTGCATGCGGGATCTCTTTTTTAATACTTTTACATTTAAAGGAGGAGAACATTGATATTGAAAGAGTCAATATTTCATTGTTTTGCATTTTAATTGTAAACATAATTCTTTTCTGACATGGTTTGATGCTACATGAGACCCAACGTTTCGACATTCCTGTCTAGTGCCTTCTTTAGTGGTGATCTAAACGCTGCAACAAGAGGTCCTTTTATATGATTGTCTACCTGGTTGCCGTGTGAACTTTAATATATAATTCATTTTTATTTTACTCAGAGCTCTTCCAAATTAGTCAAATCTTTGAATACGTGTTTAGGAAGCTTCCTGATTCCGTTGCCTTACAGCCGTCCGATAAAAAAGATAGAATAATACTACAGATAAATGTTTTCATATCTTCCAATTGTTATGCGATTTCGGGGGGGGGGGGGGTGAGGAATTCGTAGATACCCGGTTTCGGCACCACTGTCGCCTCAAAGCGCATTCTGTGATCTCTTACAAAACCACTTATTGAAAACTATCCTTCCCGAGGGGAGGGCAGGGAATAAAAGTATTTGAGCGCTTGGGGGATGTTACATTTTAGAATATTTTAGATAAAAAACGTTGTTCTTTTTGTCTTCTAAACTAAACATTTGATGTTTTAAAAGCTGGTGATGACTCACGCCATGTCGATTATATTATATAAAAATGCAAAACTGGTTAAAAGGCACAATTGCTGACGGTATTGCACAGATGTTTGTAAATGTCATCCATGGTGACTTGAAACGAATGGACAGCGCGTTCATAAGAATATTCATCTTTAGGTAATGATCTGGTAAAGCTGTATGCAGATGGCGCTCTGTATTTGAATTCATTGCTGTTTAAAGACCGTTCGATTTGAATCGAAGAAAGGGATCAGAGAAAATATTTTTGAGGTATTTATTCTCTTTGATGTTTAAAATGTCTATACAAGGAAAGATAACAATGAAACATCAGTATATTATGACACAACGTTAACTGTGTTAACGGCAGATCTTTAAATTCTACGGGACAGAATGATTCTTATTATCCATCCTTAAGATCTTTCTCCCAGCTTTATCATATTATTCCTCAATATTCAAACAAGTCAGAAAGGAATTTTTTAATGAGCATTTTTTTATTTAAAGGGCTGATAAAGACATCCATAGTTACTCTGCCCTGTCATCAAATACTGCGCCAGAGCTTCATAGGGGAGAATAGGGGATTTGAAAATTGATCACTGAGTTTTCCCTTATTCCTTTCAATTCTTATTTAAACTTTCTCCGCTAGGATAATGATAACAATAACACATTCATGTTTTTTATCCAGTGAATTGTTCACCGCGACACGTTCTTCTGGCGCGCACTGAACGAAAATACAAGAAAGAATAAAAGAAACTTCTGGAAAATATTTCACTGAAGAAAATGTAACTGTAAAGGTAGGAGAGAAGTGAATTTTACAATAATTTCTTTACAAGCCCTCTTTTCCGACAAAGAGACAATTTAAAATGGTAATATAAATTGAGGGTCTCAATGGAGTGATGGCTTTGGTTAAAAGTTAGACAAATTGACAGCTGACGGTTAATATCTTTCCATTGTGGTCATCAGAATAATTTTCATAGTTTATTTTTTATAAAACCAACGGTTAAATTTTGTCAATTTTTGCGCTCAACGGCTTAACTATTGGCATTTTACGACTAACGGTCAACCCCATTGGAACCCTCCAAACTGTTCTTAGTATCAAATGTACAAAAGTATGATTCAGGAGATTTCCCGTTAGAGCCTTATTCAGATACAGCAGTGCTTTAAAAAGATAATATTTTTCTTGCTAATTATGATATCGCTGTATCTTGTCGTTTTTTAACTGCTCTGTGAGGTAAACAGCCTCGGCAATAGAGGTCTTCAATGAGATTCTGTCCACATACAAGACGGTTGAGCTAGATGAAAATATATTATCCATCATTATACGTTATTTGATCAAATTCTTAAACTCAACTCAATCTTCTCAAACTTCCCCTCAGCCCATCAGCTGAAAACAAGAAGATGGTGTCCAGAAGGACCTTCAGCGGTTTCATTATTGATTTATGTAAGCACCGTCGTCTTTGTTTACTAGAATCAAGTTAAGAGACCAGAAGTCTTATACGGGCATATTCGAGCGTATCGCAATCGTTAGTTTTTACGTTGCTCAAATATCTCGACCCTTTTCATCTCTATGGTGTCCAGCGAGAGAGACACGCGGCGGAGAACCGCTGCGGGGATTACGAAAATCGACTTATAGCTCCTGGGTAAATTACGAGACAGCTCAGAGCCTCAGTTGATTTCAGCTTCTCTCGCGAATTCGATCTCTATGTTCCCCGAGAGGAGACGACCGTGCACGCCTTTACGGTGAGCCGTGACGTAATTACAAAATTCAACTGAAGCAGGACAAATCTTCAACACAAGAAAATACATGTTAATTATTCTCTTCGTTCAAGTTTCAAGTAAAGTGTACATCCAAAACGATCAGAATGAGTGAATGAGTCATCCGACGAGCTCCGCGGTTCTGTTTTAAATGCGTGCTCGCATAGTTTCGTCACTTGCGTTCGATAAGGAAATAATCTATCAAAAAAGGCGATTAAAATACCTCATCAATGAAATCTTTACGCCAAACTGAGACATCGAGAGAAAATTCGAATGTGAATCTTACGCGTATCTTTTTCTTACTAGTTTCATGAACTACAAATCTCCACCTTATTTGACACATATGCCGTGGCTTTCGATTAAAACGGCGGATCGAGTTTGGCTTTCTGTTGTGGCTATATGAAAGCCGCTTCCATTTGAGATACTACCTCTAAATAGCTTTGTTGAAATTGAAATATCTCAAAACCTAGGCGAGGAGCCTCCCCTTTGTCCTTTCTTTTTTTCTTTATTTTACTTGCAGTTTTGTTAATACTGGAAGTACGCCTTCAGAGAGTTGTCCCACGGTTTTACACAAGTATACTTTTACAAGCGCCAAAAGGACATTACGTGGAACTGAATTTCACCATGCAGAGTTTATATCCAACACCCTGCATTTATGATAAGTACCTTGAGGTTCGTGATGGATACAACAAGTCAGCCAATCTTCTTGGTGAATTTTGTGGAAGGAACATTTCTGTTATTGTGCGATCCAGTGGACAGAACTTGTGGATCAGAAAATCAGTTCAGTATATTGGCAGGTTTCGGGGCTCGTACACCAACAAAAGACTCAATTTTACAGGTATTGTCCTCTGAAATTTCCAACTGAAACAACTCTAAGATGTTTCTAAGTTGTCGCAACACGGAAGGAATAGATGGCAATTACGAGTACTGCAACTCATTTGGTAATTTCATTTATTTGTTTTGTTCCAGTTGAACCCAACCTAGACAAGGTGGCCAAAACTCAATTTGTTCTTTTCAACCAAACTTCATCTCTTTGGTGTCCAGCCCAAGGTGCACCAGCACCATTTATAGTTTGGAGAAAGAACGAAAGAGTGGTACAGAACAGTACAAGTGTAAAATATCAGCTGACCATTACTGGAGAAAACAATAACAAGTATAGCTGTGAAGTGAAGACACAGGATGCTTTTGACAAGAAAGAAATCAGTTTTGTCATTGAAAGTGAGTTTTGTCACAACCGAATCAAGGGGGGTAACTTTTTTAAAGAGACTGTGGCGCCTCGTCGATGAGGAGTATTACAGGATGATTTAGTTTTGTTCTTCGCCGAGCGAAACATTTCGCCTTGACGAAGGGGTAACCCTCTAAACTTCAGCTTTAGAAGCTCTTTACGGTTGCAAATTTTCATTGTCAACTCAGCTGATAAAACTAAACTTTTAAGTTACAAACAATTGATTCTCAAGTTAGTCAGGCGTAGAGGAAAATATACTACTCATTTGCAAAGTTTGCCTAATCGCAAGTAAAATGAGCAACTCTTAACGCTTTCCTAACTGATTTTTCAGCTGAAAGATTGACACAAAAGTTTTATCGACCAGGAGCCCATAGACTCCTGTATCGACCTAATGACTAATTTGTTTTGTCTTACACTGGAATGGTATGAAGCGTTTACGAGATAACTAGAAGGCAGCCATCATTTCGGAGTACTCTAATGCACACATTAAGAGAGCACCACCAAAGAGCCTCATTAACTTTCAGTTAGTACATTTATATCATCTTGCTTTATTCTAGGGTGCCCACAATCCTGCCGATGTACAATTGCAGTTGGAGTCATAGGCGCAGCCACTTGCATTGAATGTCGGGGAAAACACTTACAGTCAGTTCCACGGCACTTGCCCTTTTCTACAGCGAAATTGTAAGCGTTTCAACTCTTCTTCTTTTTCTTCATGGCTTTTTGTAGGTGATATGTGTGGGGGGAACTTAAACAACAACCAAATAGAGGAGCTATCACCTAAAGTCTTTCATAACAACTCGCAGTGGGTCGTTCTGTAAGTAACCAATCTTAACGCTTTTGTTGCTCTTGGCGCTTGATGTGCTAAGAATTATCAAATGCATAACCCTTAATGTGTGTAGCCAACCATGAAGGAAGTGAAAAAGGGTGGAATGGTTTGTAGATTTGCAGTGTCGGACTACTAGAAGAAACCTCGCCTCTTTGGACCATCTTTTAGTTTCATAAATGACAAAACACTGAAATTTTCAAACAAAACCACCAAGTTAGGTTGTTGGTCTTAGCTTTTACGATTATATATTCTATTTTTCTGAGGTTATTTGTTTTAATTGCATGTGGGAGATTTCCTGTATGGCCAGTATTCGAAGGGGGCTAGAACAACACAAAACACGATCGACTTGAAGTTTTCTCAATTTTCTATTCCCTTGCTAACGATGTTTTATCAGTTTGCATGGGCTTCGCTAATATGTCAAGGGAGGTACTTTCAAGCGTTTCCTTTCAGAAAAACGGGCCTCGCACTCTACATTTCTTTTATACCTGTCCAGTGCTGCTGTCGAACGCGAGTAGGATTTATACATTTTCACGTCTTGGTGATGCAAAGTTTCCAAAAACTTACAGGTGGTTACACGATAACAAGGTTATGAATTTGTTAAGCGATTTATTTTCCCAATTGGTGAAGTTGCAGTGGCTGTATGTGAAAATTTTTCCTTATATATAAACGATATATATAGACTCACCTTCAATAAATCGCTGGTTAACATAAGACTGATCGTCATCTCCAGGAGATAATAAATAAAAAAAACTTACGGGTGGTGTGAATCACACTTGCACAGTAGCACAATGGCAAATGAATGGAGCAAACTCCCCTCTCTAATATATCATTTCCAACTTCATAAAAGATTGAATTCCGTTTATCCTAACCGGCTATTGTGATGTGCTCAGAGTCTCTTTATTTGCTGATTAAGAGCGAATACTCAATAACGGTCTTCAACCACAAGATAAATAAAATATAAATAGGTTCGCTTGTAAAGTAGCATCGTGAAGTGATCTCAATGTTATGGCGAATGCATTGGAGAGACTTGAAGAAACCTCAACATAAGCCTAATTTGTATATTTACTTTTACATGATAGAATATGAACTTTTGCTTAAAACATTTTCACGTAAGCTTACTGTTATTTTTTTAAGTTCAATCCTTGAGGACTGAGATTGTGCCATACTTAAAGTGTTGATATATATCGATTTGTTTAATCACATTCAAGATTACAATAAAAGCGTTTGTTTGACCCGGACACAGCTCAAATAAACTGCACCCCGACTGAAAAAAGTACGCAACAGCAGCAATGCACAAGAGGTAATATAACTTTAACTCAAGTCATGGAATATCTTTTCATAGGGACTTGGGTAACAACCAGATAAAGGAGCTACCACCTGGAGTCTTCAAAAATAACACTGAGTTGATGGCATTGTAAGTAACAGATATCCACGCCCATTTTTAATATCAACCTTCGATGTGCTAAGAGTGAAATGTCAGTGTTCACTTAATAAGATCAAGACGCTCCTCAAGCATAATGGGTGTGGTCAACCATGAAGAGATTGAAAGAGGGTAGGACGGTTTGTATTTGGACAGTTTAATCAATGATCATTTCCTAGCATATGTCGGTGGTCCTCGTTTTGTAAATCCTATTTTCTATCCCCTTGCTAGCTTTGTTTTATCAGTTTGCATGGGCGTGGCCAGAATTTAGATGGAGGCACTAGCAAGCGTTTCCTTTCAGTAGCACGGTCCTCGCACTCTGTTTTTTTTTTTCACACCACTATTTCGGTCGAACACGAACAGGATTTATACATTCTCACATATTGGTGATGCAAAGTTTCCAAAACTTACAAGGGGTTACACGGTAACAAATTGAAGAATTTGACAGGCGATGTATTTTCCCAATTAGTTAAGCTGCAGTGGCTGTAAGTGAAACGTTTTCCTCATATATAAACCATTTCAAGGGTCACAAGACTCACTTTCAATCAATCGCTGGTTAACACAAGACCGATCGTCATCTCGAGAAGATAATGAATAAAAAAACTTACGGGTGGCGTGAATCAAACTTGCACAGTGGCACAGTGGCAAATGAATGAAGCAACCTTCCCGGCCCTCACTAATAAATCATTTTCAGTTTCCTAAAAGATTGAACAGGTTACCTTTATTTTGACCTACCATCGTAATATGCTCAGAGTTTCGTTAATCTCTAATGTTAAATTTTGTAATAAGTAACCGATTAGTGAGTTCATTTCTGATACATAGATATTATTATATTACGTCCATATTGACTTGTCTTATGCTTAGACACTCGTAGTTCAGAAAGCGCCTTGGTAACTAGCCAATGAATTCAGTCAACAACACTACTTCCCGCTTACTCAAGCATGAAGCGCACTCCCTTAAATTAGATATATGTTCAGTTATTTCTAATTAAGTACATTCTGTAGCTCCAAATCCCTGATTTCACGCAGTGATCTTCGTCTCCCTTTTCCGATCTAGTTATCTTCAGCAAAAACCTTATTACAGGCAGCTTCATAAATAAACATGTTCGACGACACCCATTTTAAAGCGACTAATACAGAACCCTTGATTTATCGATTTGGTTCTGCTTCTATTTTTACGCAAGTGTGGTCAGAATATCTTGATCCACTAAATGTGGGCAGACATTTATTCAAGTTCAGTGATTGTTGTCAGCCATATGGTAGTTAAACTCAAACGCGAAGCTAAGTCTCTTGAATAAGGTATTCAAATATTTATTATCATACCAGTAACCGTCAGCAAAAACGTCTTTACGGGCAGTGTTGTAAATGACATCTAATGCATGTTCCACGACACATTTTTAAACGATTAATACAGATCCCATCAATGGAATAAAACATCGATGTACAAACTGGTGGGATACAAATCCAATATCCCAGCTCACAATTGAACAAATCCTGGTTTCAATCTCATTTCCAAAGTTATCAATCCTGTTACATTCACAAATTGTTTAAAAGGAAAAAATTATCTTTCATTGCCAAATCATGGTCCTGAATTTTACCAGATATCTGAATAGCTTGATTTTTATGGTCCCAGAACATTGCAGAAGGAACAATTACACTTAATATATAATTAATAGACAGGTGCACAGATATTTACATGTTCAAATTCTCCGAATGTCGAGGCTTGTGCATTAGCGATATTTGTAGGAACATTACAGACTTATACAACCCATCATAAGTATAAAATATCGATGGAGGGGGTAAGGACGAAGGGCTAACGCTCGAGACGTCAGCTTTGAAACTCTTAACGGTGGCCAATTTGCGTTATCAACTCAGTTGAAAATTACCGAATTACCTTATGAGATATCGACTTTAAAGTGATCCAAATCCTATATCCCAGGTCGCATATTTACCACTTCCCCGTTCCAAATTTTACAGTTGAAATCCCATTCTCATTCTAATCAATTCCACTCCGTCTAAAACATGGTTAGAGAGACTAAACGCTGGAGAGCTCAGAGTGCAAGCTTCGAAAACAAATTTGAATTTAAGAGGATAGTTATGAGAGCCTTTGCTCCAGTTTGAGGAGTCTTCTTTAAAAGGAGAGGACTCTGGAAACAAATTTGAAGTTAATTTCTTTCGATAGACGTATTTTCCAAATATTTTGGGTCTTTCAAAAATTGAGACGTTTTACTACACTTTTGTTCAATCAAGGGACTTCACATCTGTATTCGAATAATGTTTAGACTTTAAGCACTACTCTTCACTCAGTCGCGTATCAGCTTATCTCCCAGAATCCTCTCTCCCCGGTTCAAAAATTGATGAGTTATATCTCAACCCCGCCCCTCCACCACCTATCTTTTTCTTTTTATGACCTTTCAATATCTCCGAGCACATTAAACTATAAAGCCGTCACAAAATATTATGACTTCAACTTACAAAGTGGGTATAAACCTAGCCGCATGCAAAACGGGTTAACAACATCACGTGGTGGAGTGCGTTACGTTAGCAGCATGATACAAGTAGGAACCGGTAGGAGATGTAGAACTGAACACAAACGAGCGGCAAGAATCAAAATAATTATGGTGATGTGTACGATCACATTGCTAAACTACTCAAAAGTACTACTGCCTGGGTCACTGCTCCATGTTTAACCAGCGGTGATGATTATTTTTTTTTAACATTGACTAAATCTGGAAAAATGGGTTAAATTCAAAATGGACATCAGATTGAGGGTATATCCTTTTCGAAGGTACTTGCATGATAATACCAAGTTGACTCGCCTGTAAGTCGCCATAACAGGTTTATATTCGAAATTATTCAAACTGTATTATTTCACAAAACTCAGCCATTCGTAGATAAGGTTTCAATCCCATCACCTCATCAAAAGAGTTATTGAAACCATTCGAGTGCAAAGTAATGGTGGTGTCAATAACTAAGTCTCAAAAGCTACATTTTTCGATACCCCATAAAATCTAAGGGTGTTATCTACAAAAAGATAATCAAGAGCAACACCAGACGTTAAACTGACCAGCCTATATAAATTGGTAGGGACTTAAGTCTACTCTTTTCTCAGTCGCACATCAGGTTTAGCACCTAAAATCCCACTCCCCCTGTTAAAAAATAGATAAGTCCAGAGTTCGTCCACCCCCCTCCCTTTACCCTTCTTTGACCCCTCAAAGCCTTTCACTATCTTCGTGGCACACTGAACTCTAAAACCGTCATGACCTGCACCTGTAAGCCGAGTTCAAACCTAGCTTCTGGCAAAACTGTGGTAAAACATTACATGGTCGACCGCGTTAAATAAGCATGACGGCTAAGAACCTGCGGAACTGATACAACTGAACACAAACAAGAGGCAAGAATCAAAATAGTTATGGTGATGTGAACATATTCATTTATATACAACACTATCGGCTGGGTTTCTCTTTCATGTTTAAGTTAAGGCATCTATCATTATAAACACTGTTTTACTCTGGAAATCTGGGTCTTAATTAGCTAGCTTACTGTTGTTTTCTAAGTTTTTAAGTTCAGTCCTTTAGTTTGCATAGGCCAGTATTTAGAGGGAGGCACTTGCAAGTGTTTCCTTTCAGTAGAAAGGGCCTTGCACTCTGTATTTCTTTTCACACCAGAACTCCACGTATTGGTGATACAAATTTTCCGAAACTTACAGGTGGTTAAACGGCAACAAGTTGAAGAATTTGTCAGGCGACTTATTTCCCCAATTAGTCAAGCTGCAGTGGCTGTAAGTGAACAGTCTTCCCCATATATAAACTATTTTTCTAAGTTTTAATTGAGGGGTTTCCCTTAAGTGACTGTTTAATACAGGTGAATGACAATACAAACTGGGACTCAGTAAAGAGTGACCGCAACCGCTTATCAGAGGCGGATATTACAGTGATTGATGGAAAACAAATTCGGGAATTTAACCGACCGCTTAATACAGGATGACAGCTTTATACGGTGCCGCTCAATAGAGGTTCAAATGCATACCATTTACGTTGGTTCTTACATCACAATCACATAGCAAAGCTACCACTGGGCGTCTTCAACAACAACATAAATTTGACTCAGCTGTAAGAAAATAACATCTAACATCTTTAAGACAAACATTTTTAGGCAACTAACATAGACCCAACCATGCGTGTAGAACACCGAAGTTCATAATGATAGGATCCAAATCCAAACATATTTTACGAATCTGGGTTCAAAATTTTAATAAATATTCAGTTCCCACTGTTATCAATCCTTTTAAATGCAACATTTGTTCAGATGGACGCAATTTTTAATTAACGAAGGAGAGCTAAACACTCAAACATTCGAAAGTAATTTGATATTAAGAAGTATAGTTTTGAGAGCATCCGCTGCAGTTTCCAGGGTATTCTCTAGACGGGGAGGACTCTGGGGACAAGTTTGATGCTAATTCCGTCTCGACAGACATAATTTGCAAAATAATTGTTCAGTAACATTGTTCAAATGTTGTTTAGACTTAAAACTCTACTCCTTTCTCAGTCGCACATCAGATTTAGCTCCTGGAATCCCTCTTCTCCGGTACAAGCACGGATAAGGCCAAAGTTCGTCCACCCCCTCCCTTTACCCCTCTTTGACTCCTCAAAACCCTTCATTATCTGCGTGGAACATAGAACTATAAAACCGTCGTGACCTGAACCAGTAAACCGAGTTGAAACCTACCTTCTAGCAAAACTGGGGTAAAACATCACGTGGTCGACTGCCTTATGTCAACATGACTGGTAGAAACCTGTAATACTTGGGTCCGCTTCACTTAGCTATGGAGTCGGGCCACTAAGCGTACTCTTCCCTAAGATCTGTAACCAGGACTCTGTCACCTGTGTAGAACTCTCAAAACTCAGTTTAGGCGTCAAGTGTTGCTTTCTGCTTTACTTGTGACTCCATCAGCTTTTCTCAAACACTTGGGCGAAGAAAAGTTTAACGGATGCGTAACTCTCATCCCAGGAATAGGCCAGCAGGTGTTCTGCCGGTGGTAGGATGCCTTGTTGACCGGTAAGTCAACAGGTAATTGGTAGTATGTTGCTGAATCGATAGTTTACTACTTTTGCAGGCCTTCATATGGTTCTTGAATGACTGAACCATCCGTTCTCCCATGCCATTACTAGCTACGTTATAAGGAGCAACACGAATGTGTTTGACGCCATTGAATTTCATAAAATGCGCAAATTCCTCGCTTCGAAATTGAGGACCATTGTACAATGCACTGGCAATCCATATTTGGCGAATAGTTCCCGTAAAATGGCTATAGTTGTCGTAAGCGTAATCAACGTTGACTCGGTACCAAGGATTACTCGACCATAACCAAGGTGTTAGAAGAGCCACTACAGATGGTTTTCTAACTTGTTGACAGCTGCTGCAGATTAACACAGCTTATTCAATTTTGTGATCAATGTTCGGCCACCATAAGTAAGTACGAGCCGTTTCCTTCGTCCGTACAATGCCTGAGTGACCTGTGTGCAACTCTTCCAATCAGTCTTCCTAAAACCGTGTAGGTTTGATTACTCGTGGCCCCCACAGAAGACAATCTTGCTCTACTGATAACTTAAGTCGGCGGTTGAAAAAGGGTTGTAGCCGAAGATCCTCCACATGTTGTGCCCATCCTTGTTTGACAAACTCTAACGCGCTGGATAGTACTGGGTCAACCCGTGTGGCGTACCTTATCTCCTTGTGCGTAATGGCTAACGAGTGAACCAGACGTTCTTCCACTCTATATATAGCATCCTCTTCGTTAAACGCGGAGGGCAGGGCAGTCGTGATAACGCATCAGCCACTGCATTTCGCTTCTATGGAACAAATATGATGCTGTAACTGAATGCTTTGTTATGTTCGTTCAGAGTTTGTGACACGTAGGCAATGGAGCGACGGTTTCCATTGGGATAAACGTGCATTATAACGGCACCCAAACCATATGGAATGGCGTCAACCGACAATTCCATAGGAAACTCAGGGTCAAAGTGCGCCAATACAGCTGCCGCAGACGTTAGGGTGCATTTTACAGCACAAACGGCTTTTTCATATCTCTGTGACCAGTTCCAAGATGTGGTCCCGATGAGCTCGCATAGAGGATGACATATCAGCCGAAAAAAAGGTCACAGAATTGTTTGGTGTTTGCATTTGAGTCGACATCGACGTGAGAGTTGAAATCACCACAAAGAAGGAATTGACAGAATGTAACAGTCAACTCTTCTGATAACGCAGAGAATTCTGAGAAAAACCTTTCTACTGTAAAGCCATTTTTCTTGGACGGTGGAGGTCGATGTACTGTCACAAGGCGAAAAACTTTGAACCAGAGGTGATAGCTGAATCAAAATGTTCGAACAAAGAAAAAATACAGCCTAATTTCGGGAAACATGAAGCCCTTTGCGTGCGATAACAGCAAGTCCACCTCCTCTGCGAGTGGATCTTGGCAAGTGATGAAGAGCGTAATCCTCAAGTGAATTCGTGAGGTCGGCAATGGTAATACTATCGTTTGAGGTAAGCCACGATTCAGTCACGGATAGTAGATCAAGACTACAAGACAACATAAGATCACGTAGCGCCGATACTTTGGTTTTCAGTGAGAGAGCATTCCAAACACCGAAACATAGTAGTGGACTACAGCATGGCCGATTTGATATCAGCGGAATACGAACAAGATTGTTGTCATTCCGTCCTGAGTGAAATGCAAATTGGTGACGACGAGGTGTCGTGGCGGGTTGAATATTAAAAACCTTCGTTACTTCACATGCCCTGACCATTCTTCCACTCCGGCATCCACGATAGGGCCGCTTCTATTTGGATCTTGAAGATGAAGAAGTTGGTCCAGGATTTAGTTCAACATCCATATGGACGGTTATTTCAATTTAACAGGGAGAGAAAAAACAAAGATATTCATGCTTAGTCCATAAGCACACCAGCCGCAATACAAATAGCTTTCGCTTCAAGCGAAAGAAACTGCTCTGGTGAACTCTTAAAGTCGCTTCTTCCAAGTGAGAAACTTTGTAAAAACGAGAAAAGTCGACTAAAATTGATGTTGACATAAATAAAGCTAGAAATATGACAGGAAAATAACGAGCATAAATAGACATTGCAGCCATTGTTCGGCGCATACAATCTGTCCTGAAAAGTCCAGCGGTGCACCAGCATAAGAAGGGAATGATATTTCCACTGGGTCGCACTGCAAGGTACTTGAAATACCGCTCATAATCTGTGTAGTATAAGATTGAAGCTGCCGCTCCCGTTTCGACCTCCATCCGGAATTCTACGCCTTCAATCTGCACAGAGACCTTCATAGAAGGTGCTGAAAGTCCTGACTTACGCAGCTCTTATTTCTAACTCTCTTCCAGAGTGAAAATGGACCTAAGAATTCATCTCCCATGTTCTCCTGCAGTCCAGCTTCTGAATCCTGTTCCGTGTGATGTAGATGTTGTTTGCTCGCCATCTCTTTTGGTGTGGTTTTGCATTGTGACACTCAGACTATGATCCGTTACATGGCAGTTAAACATTCAGAATTCTTGTATTTGCATTTGTCTGGGGTGTAGTTGGCTAGCCCGCAGCGAAAACAGCGTTTCCTTTGGTGACGTCGACCCACTGAGCGACCGCGTGACCACACGTTGTCACGCTTAACCTGATTTACGCCCGACGAAGAACTTTCACCGTAAGGATTTCCTCCAAACTCCAGGATCCTTTGCCTCGGTTTCTGGTTTGCAGAATAAAATCGGTATCTTTCTGCGACTTACAAGCGAATGGGCGTGTAATGACCACGCAACAGCGTTACAAGCTGGTCAAAAGTCTTCGTATTCGGCGCTTCCGGGAATGACAAATCCTTTAAGACTCGATAAGCACCACTTCCAGTAAATGTTAAGAGTATTGCTCTTCGTTTAGCGGGACTGTTCGTGTCGTTCTTAATATCGAAGACGATGAAATATTCTTGCAGCCGTTCGATATAGCTCTCGATATCTTCAGACTCAGCATTGAAGACATGAAAAGGAGGTCTTCCCGCCAAGTGGTTTGCGTTAAGGTTGAGCTGATATCATAGATTTAAGACCGGATTTTCGCTTAATGCTCCGTTCGTCGAGGTTGGCTGTTCTTTCTCCAGTTTACCTCGTCGCCACCGTAGCCTACGGCGTCGGATTAAGTCTAAAGACGCGAAGAAAACAGGACGGAGGCTCCCACGATATATCGACTCGAACGTGATATATGAAAACGAAGCTGACAAACGATAGCGTGAATACCGTATTTATTCGATTAAGCGACCAGGGCGCTTATTTCATTTTTGGACTTTCAAGGTGGGCGCTTATTCGAGGTGAGCGCTTATTCGAGGCTGGGCGCTTATTACATTTTCACCATTTTCAGTAAGTAAAAAGTTTATTTTGTAACAAAACAATAAATGAGAACAAAACATGATAAAATATTAAAGCATATAAATTGTAACTATTCATTGTTCGGTTTATGCCCAGGACTAACAACTCATTGTTCGGTCTTCGCAGAATTCTCTTTTGCTATCATAATTCTCAATCAACTTAAGTGTCATCGTCACTCAGCTCAATAAGTGAACTTTCTGGTGCCACCTCCTCGACATCCGACAGCGTAACATCAGCAAATGGGTCAGTCGCGCAAGAAGCTGTTAGGGCTTGCTGGATGAATGCCAGGCGATCTTGTCCTGTACGACAAGGTTGACCCTCCTTTAGGCAATGAATCTGATCATCTTCAGATCCGTCAGGAGCCACAGTAAGCGCGCAGCTTCTGAAAGAACGGATAATTAACTCTCTGTCTAGAGTTTTCCAGGCCTCAAGAACCCACTTGACGATTTCAGGACGAGGTGGACCACGCATGTTTCCTGCAGCTGTAAATGAATGAGCTCCGTCAGCCATCCACGCATCGTACTTCTCAGTTACTTTGGCCTTGAAGGGCTCATTCCATGCCACGCCAGGGGCTTGGATATACTTAATACAACCACCGGAATCAATGTGAATTCAAAGCAATGGCTCGCTCAAGTTTTCACTATCTGAAATGGAACTTTGTGTTTGAAGTGCAATTCACATCAGTTATACGAGGTCATCACATTTATACAATCAAAAACGTTAATTTCCTGCTCCGGAAGCATAATAAAAGTTAAAAATTTTTTCCAAACTCGGAGCTAAAAATTAAAGGAGAGAAAACGCTTGGAAAACTCGCCCGGTGGCAGAATCACAAGCACTTTAACATCCGATGCAGATATAACAACATTACTCCAAACAGCCTGAAACTACGAACCTGTATGAAAGGTGTTAAGACCATGAAGATTATTCATAATGCCGAGAAGAAACTTCTTCAGGAACGAATAAGACAATGCAACTTTACGATCAGAAAGTACGAGGAGAGCGCAAAAAGAACTGAAATCAAGTTTACAATCCAAGGTGTCAACAGAGATAAATAATCACATCTTAACTCTCTTCGAGAAAACACATTCGTCGCACTTTGAGATGGCAAAGAGCCGCCAGAGGCAAAAGTTTGACCGCCTACTGATCAGTAAAGAAGTAATTCGGTCACCGACGACAAACATTGGAGATACCAACATTGATCGGACAAAGTGGGTTATGAATCTCTCTGACCGCCCTCTTTCCGACAGTGAACACTCGGTTCTCATGAAAGGTCTGAATTTTAGCGTAACTCCATCAAAGATTCCAGTTGATGAGATCGTGGCAGCCACTGAACTGGCCTGTAATCAACTAAAAGAGAAAAGCCAAGCCGAGAGCCTGAGAAATGAAGTAGTTAAAATCGTAAGCAAGAGCAAACCCCCAAGACCAAACATCAGCAGAGCTGAAAGGGATACCATTAAGGCGCTGGCGAAAGACGATTCAATTGTAATCTTACTAGCGGACAAAGGGCGCACTACGGTAATCCTAAACAAACAAGATTATCACAACAAGGTGAAGGCTCTCCTAGACGATACCAATACGTATGAAAAATTAACATCTGACCCAACCAGAGCCATCAAAAACAAACTCATTCAAACCTTGAAGGAGTGGCGCAAAGAAGAGAGAATCCCTAATTATCTTTACAATCAACTGTACCCCACAGCAGAGAATGTCCCAAAGTTCTACGGGCTACCCAAGATTCACAAGAAAGACGTACCGCTACGGCCAATAGTTTCGAGCATTGGTAGCGTGATGTACGACACTGCCAAGTTCCTTGCTAAGATTATGAAACCTCTTGTTGGCCTCAACAGTCATCACATCGTTAACAGTGAAGACTTTGTCAACAAGATTGCAGAACTTGAAGTACCCCCTGGACAGAAACTCGTTTCATACGATGTTTCCTCACTGTTTACCAGCATTCCGATCAATGAAGCCATTCCAGTTGTCAGAGCCAAACTGGGAAGTGACCAGAGCTTACCGGACAGATGCCCGTTAGATATCGCCCAATTATCTGTTCTACTAGAGATGTGCCTCTCGAGCACATACTTTACATTCCAGGGTGAATTCTATAAACAAAAGAAAGGAGCCGCAATGGGGTCTCCAATTTCCCCTGTAGTGGCCAATCTCTACATGGAACAGTTCGAGAGCAGAGCTCTGGACACCGCCCCCACCCCTCCAACTATGTGGTATCGATATGTTGATGACACGATGGCCAAGATTCACGAAAACGCCGTCGATTCCTTCTCAGAACATCTAAACTCCATTGACCAACACATCCAGTTCACTTCGGAACAAGAAAAGGATGGCAGGATTCCTTTCCTTGATACCTGTGTGAGTATTAACCAAGATGGTTCTACCAAGATCTCAGTGCACCGCAAACCTACGCACACGGACCAGTACCTAAACTTCCAGTCAAACCATCATCTACAACACAAAAGAGCTGTGGTTAACACCCTGATGTTGAGAGCTCAGACGTTGGTTACGGAAAACGAGGACAGAACTAGAGAAACACAGCATGTCAAGCAAGCTCTAAAAATGAATAACTATCCAGAATGGATGCTAACAATACCACATCCAAAATCTACAACAGAAGATACCGAAGAGCCTCAAAACGAGAAGAAAATCTATGCATCAACACCATACATCAAAGGTATCTCGGAATGCCTGCAAAGAGCGTTCAAGTCACACGATGTTACACTTATTCATAAACCCGTCAATTCTTTAAGATCACAATTGGTACGTGTCAAGGACACAACGGTCAATCTCAAGAAATGCGGTACTGTGTACCAGATCCATTGTGAGAAGTGTAACAAGGAGTACGTTGGCGAAACGGCCCGCGCTCTGGAAATCAGAGTGAAAGAACACCAATCAAGAAGTTCATCAGCTGTTCACGAGCATTGTCGCCTAGAGGGCCACTCGGTGGACCCAAATAAGACAAAAGTACTTTCAACCGAAGTTAAAACCTTCAAACGCAGGATAAAAGAAGCTATTCAAATTAAACTTACGAAACCGGCGTTAAACAGAGACAATGGTTACGAATTAGCAGCTATCTATGACACAATTCTAACCCCCAAGAGTACGTTGGCGAAACGGCCCGCGCTCTGGAAATCAGAGTGAAAGAACACCAATCAAGAAGTTCATCAGCTGTTCACGAGCATTGTCGCCTAGAGGGCCACTCGGTGGACCCAAATAAGACAAAAGTACTTTCAACCGAAGTTAAAACCTTCAAACGCAGGATAAAAGAAGCTATTCAAATTAAACTTACGAAACCGGCGTTAAACAGAGACAATGGTTACGAATTAGCAGCTATCTATGACACAATTCTAACCCCCAAGAGGCGTTAAAAAACCTTTTTAAAATTCATCTTTTTAACATTCATATCATTGACTGATGAAGTCCGGTCGAAATACGGACGAAATATTTCATAAGTTTTAATTTTTAGCTCCGAGTTTGGAAAAAATGTTTAACTTTCATCACATTTATAAATCTGTGTGGACTCAAACTTTGGGAGAGAAACTTAACTGCCGCGAGGATGATTGCAAGGAAGCCAAACAACATGACGAATATGCAATTGGGACGTATTTGGAAGCTTGTACCGGCACCGAGCTTGTAGGACATGTGCCAATGGAACTATCCTACCTCATCTATACATTTCTGAGAGCATACGACGATAATGAGGTTTCTGCTAAAGTAACAAGAAGGGTCAAGAACATTCAAAGCGCGGACACCAAGCAGGGCTATTGCCACGAAGTTGGAGCGGGAGATTTTGCGGCTGAAAGAACTTTGCGCCCACATGGACATTTCAGTTGAAACTTTGAGAAAGATTCCAACGTAGTCATAAAATTTTCAGACAATGAAACTAGAGATTGTAAGCCATTGATGAAATACCGTAATAATCAATACCCGTACTCCTCTTATGCACTTTATTTTTTTTTTCTTTTGGGGGGTAGGGGGGAGGTGGGCGCTTCTTCGAGGTTGGGCGCTTAAAAAGTACTTTTTGGGGGCGGGTGCTTATTCGAGGCTGGGCGCTTAAAAAGTACTTTTTGGGGGCGGGTGCTTATTCGAGGCTGGGAGCTTAAAAAGTACTTTTTGGGGGCGGGTGCTTATTCGAGGCTGGGTGCTTAAAAAGTACTTTTTGGGGGCGGGTGCTTATTCGAGGTCGGGCGCTTAAAAAGTACTTTTTGGGGGCGGGTGCTTATTCGAGGTCGGGCGCTTATAAACTTTTTTTACCTTCAGAGTGGGCGCTTATTTGAGGTGGGCGCTGATCCGAGATTGGGCACTTAATCGAATGAATACGGTACTTACGTCTACACACCAATTCAACGGCAAGAGTTTAAAGAAGGGAATTTACATCGAACTATCTCAGTTCATATTATTACCCAAACCAATAATATTATCATGAATCGTATTTCCAATGTTGTTTTATTTGTGACACTTTTCAGACAGAAAAAAAACACCTCTAATCTTTAAAGCACGGTTTTGAATTTTGAAAGAGAATTGCAGGCCAAGATAGGGAATTAGAGGAATCTAACTACTAGGATAAATATATGTTATTTGCCGGCTGGGAGGTCCGTATGGTGAAAAACTGTGACCGAGGTCTTGAAAATACTGCCCGAGGCAGCATTTTCAAGACCGATATATATCCACGCCCATTTTTATTATGTTAACCTTCGATGTGCTAAGAGTGTAATGTCAGTGTTTACTTAATATGATCAAGACGCTCCTCAAGCTCAGTGGGTGTGGTCAACCATGAAGAGAATGAAAGAGGGTAGAACTGTTTGTTTGCTCAGGCAGCAACACGCAGGAGGTAATATGATTCTAACTAAAATCATGGAATATCTCCTCCTAGGGACCTAAGTAACAACGCGATAAAAGAGCTACCATCTGGAGTCTTCCATAATAACACTGAGTTGAGGGGCCTGTAAGTAACAATTATCCACGCCCATTCTTAATATTAACCTTCGATGTGCTAAGAGTGTAGTGTCAGTGTTTACTTAATATGATCATGACAGTCCTCAAGCTTAGTGGGTGTAGTCAACCATGAAGAGAATGAAAGAGGGTAGGAAGGTTTGTATTTGGACAGTTTAATCAATGATCATTTCCTAGCATATGTCAGTGGCCCTCGTTTTGTAAATCCTATTTTCTATTCCCTTGCTAACTTTGTTTTATCAGTTTGAATGTGCGTGGCCAGTATGAAGAGGGAGACACCTGCAAGCGTTTCCTTTCAGAAGAACGGGTCTCGCACTCTGCATTTCTTTTCACATTAGTATTACGGCTGAACGTGAACAGGATATATAAATTTCCACGTATTGTTGATACAAAGTTTCCAAAACTTACAGTTTGTTAAACGGCAACAAGTTGATGAATTTGCCAGGCGACTTATTTTCCCAATTAGTCAAGCTGCTGTGGCTGTTAGTGAAAATTCTTCCTCACTTACAAACTTTTTCAAGTGTCACAAGACTCACTTTCAATCAATCGCTGGTTAACATAAGACTGATCGTCATCTCCAAATATTCGGTATACCCCTCTTGAGAGGAGCTAGGTTTACTACTAACTCAGTCGGTCAACTTTTCCCACGAAAAGTAATTTTTTCGGCATCTTTTCTCCCTGAGAGTTAAGCAATAATGACTTTCATCAGATTTAGGCCGGTGCTATTCGGAGAAATCAGTGTTTTTTAATACTGCAAACATGTTAACTGACTGATGTATAATTTCTCTCCGGAAATTTCCAAAGTAACGAAATTAATCCAACGCAAAACTACCAGAAAAATGATGATAAAATGGCAGAAACAGCAACGAAAACGTTGAAAATGTTATTTCTAAGTTCAGTCCTTGAGGACTGAGACTTGACCTTACTTATGGTGATATAAATCAATTTGTTCAATCACGTTCAAGATTATATTAAAAGGGTTTGTTTGACCCGGACACGGCACAAATAAACTGTATTCCGACCGGAAAAAGGACGCAACAGCAGCAACACACAAGAGGTAGTATAATTTTAACTTAAGTCATGGAATATCTCTTCTTAGGTCCTTGGGTTATAACCAGATAAAGGAGCTACCAACTGGAGTCTTCAGTAATAACACTAAGTTGATCGAACTGTAAGTAACAAATATCCACGCCTATTCTATATTTTAACCTTCGATGTGCTAAGAGTGTGTAATGTGTAAGTGTTTACTTAATATATTCAAGACCCTTCTCAAGCTTAGTGATTTCAACGCCTATTTTTGATATTAACCTTCGATAGGATACGAGTGTAATGTCAGTGTTTACTTAATATGATCAAGACAGTCCTCAAGCTGAGTGGGTGTAGTCAACCATGAAGAGAACCGAAAGAGAGTAGGACTGTTTGTATTTGGACAGTTTAATCAATGATTATTTCCTGGCATATGTCGGTGGTCCTCGTTTCTTAAATCCTATTTTATATTCTCTTACTAACGATGTTTTATCAGTTTGTATAAGCGTGGCCAGTATGTAGAGGGAGGTACTTTCACGCGTTTCCTCTCAAAAGAACAGGTCTCGCACTCTGCATTTCTTTTTACACCAGTACTGCAATCGAACGTGAATAGGATTTATACATTTTCACGTATTGGTGATTCAAAGTTTCCAAAACTTACAGGTGGTTAAACGGCAACAAGTTGAAGAATTTGCCAGGCGACTTATTTTCCCAATCGAAAAAGATGAAGAAGTTAGTCCAGGATTTAGTTCAACATCCATATGGACGTTGACGTCAATTTAACAGGGAGAGAAAAACAAAGATATTCATGCTTAGTCCATAAGCACACAAGCTGCAATACAAACAGCTTTCGCTTCAAGCGAAAGAAACTGCTCTGGTGAACTCTTAAAGTCGCAACTTTCAAGTCAAAAACTTTGTAAAGACGAGAAAAGTCGACTAAAATAGATGCTGACATAAAAAGCGTCGGAAATAAGCGAAAACAGCGTTTCCTTTGGTGACGTCGACCCACTGAGCGGCCGCGTGAACACGCGTTGTCACGCTTAACCTGATTTACGCCCGACGCAGAACTTTCACCATGAGGATTTCCTCCAAAGTGTCGTACATCCTTCTACGCTATTTTTTGGTCGATTGCAGCGTCCCCTGCTTCTTGAAAAATGGAGTTGGCCGATAATCATTTTCCGCTTAATCTGCTCCGCGCGTAACTCGCAGATGAAACGATCGCGTAGAATATCATTTATAAGCAAGTTGGTGAATTCACATTTTCCCGTGAGACTTTTTAACCCGCTTACAAACTCCACGATGCTTTGCCCCAGTTTCTGATTTGCAGAATAAAATCGGTCTCTCTCTACAACTTACAAGCCAATGGGCAAGTAATAACCACTCAGCAGCGTTGCAAGCCGGTCAAAAGTCTTTGTATTTGTCCAGTAAAAACAAATCCTTTAAGACTCGATAAGCACCACTTCCAAGAGATGTTAAGAGTATTGCTCTTCGTTTAGCGGGACTGTCCGTGTCGTTCCTAATATCGTAGGCGGTGAAATATTCTTGCAACCGTTCGAGATAGAACTCGATAACTTCAGACTCAGCATCGAAGACATCAAAAGGAGGTCTTCCAACTATGTGGTTTACGTTAGGTTGAACTGATATCGTAGATTTAAAACCGGATTTTCTCGTTCGTCGATGTTGGCTGTTCGTACTTCAGTTTACCTCTTCGCCACTGTAGTGTATAGCGTCGAATTAAGTCTTAAAGACACGAAGAAAGCTAGACAGAGGCTTATTTTCCCACGATATATCGACTTGAACGTGAAACATGAAGCGAGGCTGACTAGCCACAGCGTAAATACTTACGTCATACACCACACAAACATAACGACCGAACAGATGGAGATGGAAAACGAAAACAGTACTGAAAAAACGATGACTTAAGCTGTCCAACTCGTGCGAGGCTAAATCTACGAGGCATCTTTGTTTACAACATTCTCAGGTTAAAGCACTCTCTCCAAGTCTTTCTGTAGTCTACGATTATGTCCGAAATTAGTACTTGGATCAAACATTAACTTTAAATTAAACGTTCAAGCGTTCAACCCTTCAACATGGTGCACTGACAGTGGCATAGGTCATTAAAAAAAACATAACCTCAACATAAACCTAACTTGTATATTTAATTGTACATGATACATGATGTGATATTTTGCTTTAAACATTTCCTCGCTGGCTTATTGGTTTTTTTTTCAAGTTAAATCCTTGAAGACTGAGATCGTGCCATACTCTAAGTGTTGGTATACATATATCAATTTGTTCAATCACATTCAAGATTACAGTAAAAGCGTTTGTTTGACCCGAGCACAGCACAAATAAACAGTACTCCGACCGAAAAAAGTACGCAACAGCAGCAACACATAAGAGGTACAATAATTTTAACTAAAACGTAGAATATCTTCTTTTAGGTCCTTAGGTAAAAACCAGATAAACGAGCTACCACCTGGAGTCTTCAATAATAACACGGAGTTGATCGCACTGTAAGTAACAGATATCCACGCCTATTTTTGATGTTAGCCTACGATGTGCTAAGAGTGTAATGTCAGTGTTTCCTTAACATGATCAAGACCCTCCTCAAGCTGAGTGGGTGTAGTCAACCATGAAGAGGATAATGAAAGAGGTTGGGACGGTTTGCATTTGAACAGTTTAATCAATGATCATCTCCTGGCATATGTCGGTGGCCCTCGTTTCGTAAATCCTATTTTCTAGTACCTTGCTAACAATGTTTTTATAAGTTTCAATGGGCGTGGCCATTATGTAGAGGGAGGCACTTGCAAGCGTTTCCTTTCTGAAGAACGAACCTCGCCTTCTGCATTTCT